TACGTCGTCTCTCTCTCTCTCTCTCTCTCTCTCTCTCTCTAAAGAACAGAGACCTATGTGGTCGTCCACATATACACTTGACCCCCACCAGTGGCACCAGCAAGCGTGCCGGTAATGCATGGGTGGGAAGCAAACCTGCAAGGGATTGCAGTCATGTAGGTGCTATCGAGTGATGTGATTGTTTTCTTCTCAACGGAGATGACATCGACTGTTCTCTTCATACTTCCCATGAACAAATATGAATCATCCCAACCCCAAATCGCTCTGAAAATAACAGCAAACTTAAGATACATAACCACAAGAATGGGAAAAAATAGAGAAATCTTATAATAAATTAAAATATACTGCAAAAGAAGCAGAATTTTGAATTAAATCAAAAAGGAAGGTAAACCATGATGTAATAGAGTATGGTATACGGTCTAAAGGGCATCCCCAGCCTGTTTGTGCTGATGGTTGTTGGATACTGAAGCATTCGCTGCAACATCTCATTGGAATGGACAGTGGATGCCCCTTCGAGTACTGTGTAACATACTCCATTTGACTATGTATATTTTTTTTAAATACCTGAAGGATGAAAGCCATCTGCCAGTCTCATTGCAATGGTGAATCATTGATACGTCTGAAAAATCTACGCCACTTGATAGTCCAACTTTATTATCGAAACTGCAGTAAGTAATTCGGGGGGAAAAAAATAGTTCAGGATGAATTGATATATGGAACCATGGAAGTGTAAGTGTGTAAAAGTGAGAAGCGAGAAAGAACAATATAATCCCATGGAGTGGGAAAGCCATAGTCCAGAGTGGGGCCAACATTATCCAATAAAATGATGGATGGAAATGAAGTGAGAGCTATTAAGCACAATGAAGTGGATTGTAGCTCTCCTCTACATGAAAATTACAGTTAAACAGTTCAAGAAATGATATTATTGAAATAAAAAGCTCGACAAGTGCCGAGGCATTCATGCCTTCAATTTGGCTCAATTACTCATTTAACAACTGTCTGAGGTTTTACTCTATGTGAAAATCCAAGCATTTGGTCCTTTTTCTTCAAAACATAACAATGGAAGATTCAAGATCCGTAAATCATCATCATCCAAACCTTATTCCAATTAATTGGGATCAACTACATGAATCTTGTTCTTCCATTCTTCTCTATCAAAAGTCAGTAAGACCAATAATATAGGTTCATGATTCATGATAAGATGTAGCAAAATTTTACATCAGTTGCTTACCTACTCGGGCTTGGGACAGGTTAATGGAAAGTTTTAAGGTCCTCACCCTTCTTAGACTTATGTGCTTTATATACTTAATCGTGCAGCAATATGTTGCTTACAAGTCATCAACCACTCCAGCAACCCTCAACAAAAAGATTTCAGAGCAAATGAAGAAAACTACTTCAAGACCTACAAAAGTACCTGGTAGGACCACCAATACCTCACCCACATGTCTGACATAGCTATGCGGTAAATCATGTGCATCAATTTATGGATTCACCCACCAATCCACATGAGGCATTAAAATACATAATCCATATGTGAAAGGGAAAATCAATCATGGCATTATATGCCTAAACAATCATTGACTACACCGTCGCGAACTGAGCAAGAGATCTTGATTCACCCAAATCAATCTCAGGATATTGTATTTATTTGGGATTTGATATCTTGGAGGAGCAAAAAGCAAAAGACCATAGAAAGATCCGCCGAGTATAGAGCATCAGGCAGCATTGTGGTAGAGATTTCTTGGGTATAGCATTCCCATATTTTTTGGTTATAAAGTACAGCAATACAGAATCTATTGCAATAATCAGAGTGCAGTTGCTATTGTAGCTATTCCTATTTCTCAATCCTCATGATCGTACTAAGCACACAAAGATATTGATTACCATTTTGTGCGCAAGAATGGAGAAGTAGAGGCGATTCAAATGAATTATATTGGCACCAAAATCCAAAAAACCAGATCGCTAACATTTTCACCCAAGGACTCACTAGTGAATGGCACCACTATAAATGACATTCAAGATCTATAAATAACAAGCGATTCAAATGAATTATATTGGCACCGAAATCCAAAAACCAAATTGCTGACATTTTTGCCCGAGGGCTCACCAGTGAATGTCACCACACCACTATAAATGACATTCAAGATCTATAGATAACCCTTAAAAATACAACTAAATACAAACTTACATAGCATGAACAACTTTAACTGTAAGAAAATTTCTATTCATGAAAACGTCAAAAAAAATAAAAAAAATCATGAAATTCTTTGTAGTCCACTTTTTCCTTGTTGGCATGATTGCATAGATTTCCTTTATTTTCTGCATGTGAAATATGATCTCGGGAAGCAAGGTCTCAATATTAGCACTTTGTCGGACGGCAACATCCCTCAGCCCTCAATAAAGGAACCATTAACATTCTTTGCTTACAATCTTCTATAGACGTAATCTCTTCATGAAGTATACCACCACCTTTCCAATTCAGAAGAAATAATAGATCTTACATAGGCAAGACATTCTTCTTTTGCATCATTGCACAATTTCTTAGCCTTGCGACTTGGTATATAATTCAGAAATGTAATTTCTCAATATTAGAACTTTGGGGAATTGCAACATCCCTTAAGCTAAAGAGTCTTGGGTATTGTGACCTTTAAAGCCCATGAGAATATGTAAATAAATTAACATATTGAATTGTGCACTTCAATAGGAGTGTATGTTGGTTGACTGATCTAGGGTTGATGCAGGGAGAGAATAAAGCCAAAAAATTGACAATAAAAAGAAGGAAGGTTAAGAGAAAAATACCCTCTCTCAAACGTCTGCAAGGGAATCCACTCCCAAAACAGGAGATATCCCTTTAAATAGACTAAAATAAGATAACTAATAAAAAAACTTCTCTCTACACCTAACTTCTCTCTACACCTATCCCTATTTCCTCTCTCTCATATTCATGTGCCAAAATTGGGCTTCTAGATAGCCACGTTTTCCCTCTCACCTCCCAAGTTGGTTTCTTGTTTTACCCAAAAAATCTCCCAAGTTGGTTTGGTTATTGTTGATAAAGATAAATTCTCTTCTAAATATGCCCTTATCCTTTTTACATCCCAAACTAACTAACCCAATTGATACAAGATAAACACAATATAAATTTATGCCCTCTAATTATCCTTGCGTACTCCCTATTCTTATCAAAAGAATAAAGATTAAAATAATCCTTAATAATCTAAACTGACATAATTCTTAAAAATCCCCAAAATATAACCCATAATTAAAGTACATAAAAAATTCCAAATTAAGTCATTCCATGACTGCATCAATCTCCTCTGGTTGGAGAAAACTCATCCTCGAGTTTTGAAGAGGATTAAGATGAGATCTACATCAAACTCGCATCCTTCTTTTGCCTTTTTCTCCTTTGGCTCTAAAACTATCAATGGTTGTGATACGTCAAAGAATGGATCAAAATATGAAGAAAAAGGGATTAATGCAAATATTTCGAACTCAGCCATCCTTTCATCATTTATAGGCTTGTGATTGATATTGTCATCATTTATGGGCTTGTAATTGACAATGTCCTCAACATCCAACACCTTCTCTGAGAAAGGATTTTCCACATGATCCAACGCCTTCTTTGAGATAGGATTTTCCACATGATTTTCGACATGGACATGAAACTTGAACTCATAAATATCGTTTTTGATAGGAACGATGATCTCAGGAATATCGTTTTTGATAGGAACAAGATGAAAGTCACCTCCTTCACCTTCATTACCTTGATCTCCAGCATTACTCTCCAAATTCCATTCACATTGAAGCTGAGCAAACTTCTACGTGGGCTCTTCTACTCTATCAGCTAAAGGCATGAGTTTTTCTACTTCTCCACTAGGGCTTGAACTTTGTGAGTCAACAACCACAACTTTTCGAGGGATGCTTCTATCTAACGCAGGGAAGAGAATAAAGCCAGAAAATTAACAATAAAAAGAAGGAAAGTTAAGAGAAAAATACCATCTCTCAAAGGTCTGTCAGGAAATCCACCCCCAAAACAATCTCTTTCAAGAGACCAATTTTTATTCAATTTATAGACTGATTTACAATGAAAGGAGAAGTCCCTTTAAATAGATTAAAATAAGATAACTAATAAAAAAACTTCTCCCTACACCTATCCCTATTTTCTCTCTCTCATATTCATGTGCCAAAATTGGGCTTCTAGATAGCCACATTTTCCCTCTCTTGTTTTACCCAAAAAACCTCCCAAGTTGGTTTGGTTATTGTTGATAAAGATAAACTCTCTTCTAAATTTACCCTTATCCTTTTTACATCCCAAATTTGATTATTGTTGATAAAGATAAACTCTCTTCTAAATTTACCCTTATCCTTTTTACATCCCAAACTAACTAACCCAATTGATACAAGATAAACACAATATAAATTTATGCCCTCCTAATTATCCCTGCGTACTCCCTATTCTTATCAAAAGAATAAAGATTAAAATAATCCTTAATAATCTAAACTCACATAATTCTTAAAAATCCCCAAAATATAACCCTTAATTGTACGTAAAAAAATCCAAATTAGGTCATTCCATGACTGCATCAAGGGTTAGGAGATCTATGGCCCCGGACATGTCCAAACCCTTTCCCCTGAGCATAGGCACTACTGTGGAAACATCGACAAAATGCCTATAGGTGAAGTTCTACAGTACTTCACCTACACCTCATCACCATCCAAAGTTCATCACACGATCACAGTTTTTGGTAGCATTTGAATTTTTATAATTTTTGTACTAATCAAATTTATCTAAAATTTGGGGCGCGTGTACATGTGACCAATTTGCACCAAAATAAAATATTAAAAAAAATAATAGTCATAAAATAAAATGATGAAATTACCTCTGAAACTTTATAGGGGTATTTTACGTAATTGTTATCATTCAAATTATTTTTTTTCTATTTTATTCATGTGCATCTCGCTAAGGAACACACACCTGCAAAATTTCAAATCATTATGATTTGTAAAAAAAAATATTAAAATTCAAACACTATCAGACATCTATGATCGTGTGATAAACTTTGAACAGTGATAAAGTCGTAGGTGAAGTACTGTAGAACTTCACCTATAGGCGTTTTGTAGTGTTTTCCTCTATATATATATATAGATATAT